CACGCAACTTTAGGGGGGCGCCAAGTTATACCGAACAGAACTCATTCCTCCCGTTGCATGCATATAGCGATGTTAGATGAAAATTCTCTAATATTATTTTTTTTCATTCTTTTTCACCAATAGTTTTGCTGGAATCGCTCCTGGTGGCCGCCCAGTTTTAAGTTTTGTTGTAGGAGATGATATAGAAGTTATCAACAAGCATGATCCAGAATGGTGGGAGGTGAGATAGCCAAATGTTTTTTCCATTGGGTATGTTTACGCGTGTTTGACCAGTCTTCAGTTGAAGACGCTGCATTCTGGAAAAGGCGAAGAACTAGAAATATTTATCAAAGCTGGGTTGATGGACGATTCCATATCGTGTCCAGATGTCGGCCATTAATTTTTTTAACTGCGAGAACAATTTTTATATTCTATGGCGTTGTAAATATTTCGACATGTTCTTTTGTTAATGTTTGTTTTGATGCGCACGTTGGCGTGATTTACGACGTGTCTATGCTCAGGAATGGTCCTCGTTATGTGACGTTGTGAAAATTTTCATCTTTGGCAGGGACGGTCGAAGAAGACTGGGGCAGTTGGTTATTTTCCTCAAAGCCACGTGGTAGGTGAATGATGGTAGAGCTTTATGGATACGCAGAATCCATTGATAAATGAAAAACAAAGCTTATCAGAGCAAACAAACCAAAACACAACTGCGATTGCAAGCTACAGTTTTGACTACAATTTCCCAAGAGAAAAATATTTGCTCCAAGCCACGCCATGTTCACACAGCTTATGTTCTCTTCGTAACTTTCCCCATTCAATGCAACCTTGGTAGAGAAGCGGTAGAATTCCTTCCCTGCTGGACTGCACTTAGCCTGAAATCACTCATGTCTGTATTTGATTGATCATAATTGGAAGCGAGTGCAGCTAAACGCTGCATTTCCACCACGTGGTCATCGAATTTTGTTAATCACTCGGTAAAACAGTAAGTCTTTTTTGCTTGTGTCAGTAGTTCGTATTTATAGATTCTTTTTCATTACATAGACGTTAAAAGCAACATCCCGCTATGAAGAAACCACGATTAAAGAGGAGTAAGTGTTGACCTGAATATATCGTGAGTGAAGCTGTATCTTTTTATTAGGCATTATTTTATCGTACTTTGCTGGGTGTTTCTGAAACTGAAATGTGTATTTTACTTTGGCCTGGGCCCAGTTGTTCAAAGGACGGATAACGCTATCCAACAGATGTATAGCTTTCCAGCGGATAAGTCTTATCAAAACCTGCAGTGCTATCCACTAGATAGCGTTATCTACCCTTTGAACAACTGGGGCTAGCTAGACATCAGCACTAATGATATATCTGATCAATACAAAGGAAAACGCGACATAAGGTAAACAAGTTAACGCAGATGCATTGCCATCCTAAATATGAGTTTAGATGATAATTAAAGATTGAAATTAACAGGTTTTACCTAGGTGTCAAGGGTAGGTTTTCCCCAAAGTATATGTGGTTCTTCTTTGATCGTACAAGAAAACGCGAAAAGGCCTGATCGGTCATGGAAACGTTTCCACAGGAGCACGCAGAGCGACATCAGATGCTTTTAGCTCTCACGGTGTGTTAATATGAGCGCTGCCCTCTCTCGTGACGTGTATTCTCTTGCATCGTGGTCTTATGGACCCAACAAGCAACACAGTCGCCACGCGATAATTTGTCGACCATCCTGTAACCTACTTGTACAAAGTTCTACTCCTGTCTTTTTTCTTAGAGTCCATTCCACTCCTCCGCCGTCACATCTAAACGTTTCTCTAAAAAGTTACAACTGGTGAGTTCTCTTTCTCGCGTTTGTTACTTAATTTCAAAACGGTTTCTTCCTTCTACTAAGCGCTTACGAGCTTTCCTTCGTATAAAAAAAAACAAACAAACAAACAAACTACCACAAGAACAACAATAAACACGAAACAAAAATGCTTCAAACGTCTGTAATAAAACGTAGGTTATTTTGTGACGTGAATGACGAGGTGTAGCGTGTTTGGGCATAGTATGACGTGATTCATGATTCCTGTAGATATTTCGATGGTCTTTTTCGATGGTCTCGGTCTCTTAAAGGGGACAAGCAACCTGCTCAGCAGACCCAAGTGTTTAAATGTTATTTTAATTCGTCACCTCACCAGGTTTGCGGGAAAGAAAGACAGACCGTTAGCAGAACAAGCGCTAACAGACAAAAGTGACGGCACTTTCCTTATAAGGGAAAGTGTAAACAGATCTGGAGAATACGCCTTATCCGTCAAGTAAGAACCAATTAGCTGTCAGTATTTCACCCAACATTTGATTGCATAATGTATTTAATCTTGTAAGCACGATTTCAGAACATTCACCGTGTAAAGAAAGATATATTTCGTCGTCTTGTCGCGAGCGTGGGACAATGAAAAAATTCTGAGTCCCCATGAGGAATCGAACCTCAGACATTTGGATTCGGCGCTCCGATGCTCTACCTCTGAGCCACAGAGACTATGGTGAGCGTGGCCTATTACGAAGTTCGTATGACACGCGTCTTACATATTGCAAGGATCAGCAATGTCGATAGCGTCATGTTTGTAAATAAGAATTCAACCAGTAGATTCCCAATTGACGATTCATATACTTGTATGGTGATGTGACTGTAGTGTCTTTTCTTCCCCCCACAGATTTCGCAATAATGTTAAACATATCAAAATTCCATACGAAGAAGGAGCTTTCTATCTAACAAAAGCAATTACCTTTCCATCAGTAGAGGTATGGTACCACCTCTGTATCATGAATGCATTGGTAGTTTTGATTTGTTCTTACACTTTGTTTAGTGAACGAGTTTTCCACTCGAATTTCTCAGCACTGTTGTAACGGTAGATCACACTCCCACTCCACCATCAGCAGGGTCCACTTATCGTACCTTTTCTTCCCCACCCCTCCCCTTTCCTCCGCTCACCTACACCTCTTGTCCCAGGTTCATTACACTAACGTTCAAATGAATCTTTGCCTTGTTCAATGTGTGCCATTAGGAACTAGTTGAATACTACAAGAACAACACACTGCGGGTGAGCTTTCCTGGACTAGACACGAAATTACGACACGGTGTCAACGAAGAACAAAAAAGCAAAGGTAAAACAAAATTGTCTTCTTATCCAGGAATCTCCGTGCACTAAAACAGGTTTAAAAAGAAGAGAGTAGTTGGCCACGGTTTTTTTTTTTTTTTGACGATAACACATGGAGGGGAATACCGAATGTTAGTCAGGTAAAACAGAAAAACACTATTGGGGCCACCTCAAAAAAAATTAGATAAAATAAATGAGAGAAAAAGATCAAAAGAAACAAAGCAGGATGGTTGAGGAAGGAAAGTATAAAGACCGGTTTTACATGACAATCTTGAAACATTGGAACAGATGTCTATAGATGGACAAACATGACCCAGCTTCCTAAACAGTTCTTCTCGTGTCACCAACTTAACAGGCATCCACCCGTTTGGTTTGTCTAAATTTGACTGGCCTTTTGTGATTTTAAACGCTACGAATTCTTTTGTTTTTTTACTCACAGACGGAATTGGCTGGGCCAAAGCCTTGTATCCGTATGCGGCGAGGAACCCAAAAGAAATCTCTATCCAGGTAATATTGAACTGTTGACTTGAATTGATATCCAATATCTAATATGTCTTTTCGATGTTGTTGTTTTGCCAGTGGATCTGGTCAGCTTTACAACTTTTTAGAAGGTGATCACTCGGTAACACGCAAATACCATGTTCTGTTTTGTCACGCTTTGTCTTCTCTTTCCATTGCAGAAAAATTCCAAGATTCTCATACTTAACCAAGAAGGTGACTGGTGGAGAGGAGAATGCGAGGGTCAGGTGGGTGCGGCGAAGCCTTGTAGGTCCTAATTTATAGTAGGTTGGTTGGCCGGGAAGGTGGGCCCTTCTAAGGTAGACAGCGAAATGTATTAAGCTATTTCACGGTTAAGCAGTTCAAATTATGTCCATCGCCTGTATTTTCGATGCTTAACGCTTTTAAAGTTATACAAACAGCTTGAATTAGGACCCTTCCATACTGGATTGGTGTGGACGGGTTCGTGAGCATATTTGGCGCGACATCATTCTCCTTTTCTCCATGATAGGTTGGTTACTTTCCGTCAAATTACGTGGAGGTCCTTAAAGAAACCATAGAGCCCCAGGATTAATACAGTGGAACTGGATATGATTTGGAAGCTAGCATTGAATGCCCGAGGGTGACGTGAGAGAACGATGAGAGTTAATATTCAAACTGAGATTGTCGTGGATCAAAGCTCGACGTAGAAATTAACATGATCGGGGATGGCTGCCATCAATCAATTCGTGGGATATCAGAGTCAAGTTCCTTGTGGGATGTTAGGACGATTTTTGTTTTGATGAATGTTTGACTGAACACCAACCAGTGCCAAGAGTAACCACAACGGCGACAAAGGAACGTTTTGGAACCACGCTCGTTATTGGTTTAGACAATCTGACAGACATGCGCTCTTGATTGTTATTTTAATGATAGGCCTAACGAGGAAGGTCATGGTTATGCTGGTCACGTGATCGGAAATAGTATTATTATCATTAATTACTTTATTTATAATTTTTGGCGATGAATTATGGGAACTTTTATTTTTGGTCATATCGAGTTCCTCGATCCAAACCTCGTTTAGGTAAGGTTAATCGTCACTCGTTAATCGTTAATTGAAGTGACGAGTCGTTTCAAAATTTTATCGCGCTAGTGCTGTTTTTTCGAAGTAAGGGAGGGGGTGGGGGAGGGGGAGGTGGTGAGGAGGGATGGGGGAGTGATGTGAAGGTTGTCAAAAACAACCATATTGGAGATATGAGATTGATTCATACCCGAGGTTACCCATTGCCAAAATAATAACTTCAAGGTTGCCAACCCAAAAAGTTTCGCCTGAATCGCGTTGGTTTTTTAATTTGTGATTTCTTTTTAAACAACATACGTTAATATTGATAAGAGATTCGCTACAGAGCGATAAAATAGTCTTTTTAATTTTATTCGGCCAAATTTATATTGTACAGTACTTTATGCTCTACGTGTATTATTTCATGAATGCATAACAAGTGCTAACAATCGTACTCACCACATAAATCCATTCATTAGGCCTATTAATAATTAACAGAATATTTTTTTATTTACCCTTGTCTTAGCAATATTTGTTCCTTTAATTAAATGTTCCTACAGGAACTGGTTCGAATTTATTTGTCTAGTTGAGAAATTAAATATGACGTTCTGAAACACCAGTGTTGTTTCTCTACGTATCAATTGTTAACAGTAAGGAGTGGTATACTTCTTTCCAAGGACAAGAATCACAAGATGCCATTCCACCGCATGCCGACCCAAAGGTTTCGTTAGGTTTTCCTGACAGTTGGCTGTTTTACATAATGCACCTATCAATGGTTTGACTTAGGACGAGCGGAAGTGGGGGGGGGGCTATCAACGAAAAACAGACCGAGAGGACTCCCCGTTGAGTAGGGATTTCGACATTAAAGCCCTGCCTCAGGGTCTAAAATTTGATCTGTCAGCTGCCATCCCCTGCGTCTCCCACACATAGGACTGAGGAAAAACCTTGCCGATCGGTGACTCTTAAACCTGTTTTTCAGTTTCGGTTTCAAGCTAACGTCAGATAAAGATGGATCACGCCCTGCGATGCCTCTAGACGAGGGCAGACGAGTTGCCTCTTAATATAAAATGCATAATCTGAGAGATGTTCGGACAAGATGAAAGCACTATATGGCCGCCAATACTCATTTCTAAGTTTACTTTCCTGTGTAAGGTGTGGTTAATACAAAAATACTTCGAAAAACGGATATGCACATATGAATTTTTTCCATTACCGTTTGAAAGAGCTGCTCAACTAAACCATGGTTTCGAGAAGTATTTTCTGTGGAACTCAAGTAACTGTACAGAAGGAATACGAATTTGTTTCATAAGCTAACATCCCATTCAAACAGCTTCGTGAAGCAATTGACAGCCTATTTCTTTCTGGCGACTCTCGTTAATGTATTCCTACACTTAAATTCCGTTGTAGAAAGAAGAGAGTCTAACAGTACAGCCCCCGTATATTGTGGGATTTCAGTAAGAGTTTACTTGTCTACATTAAGTTATCTTAGCAGCAATTTTCAAAGCTCTGTTGTTAGTTCACATTTCTCGGTTTCAGGTTCTTCCGTTTTCACTTCAGCCTCAATCGGTTTCTCTTCGGCTTCGTTCGGTTTCGCTTCATCCTCACTTGGTTTCCCTTCGTCCTCATTTGGTTTCTCTTCAGCCTCGTTCGGTTTCCCTTCGTCCTCACTTGGTTTCCCTTCGGCCTCACGCGGTTTCCCTTCGTCCTCACTTGGTTTACCTTCGGCCTCACTCGGTTTCCCTTCGTCCTCACTTGGTTTCTCGTCGGCCTTACTCGACTTATCTTCAAGCTCATTCTGTTTCTCGTCGCCTTCACTTGGTTTCTCTTCGACCTCTACAGAGTTCCCATTTGCGGTCTCATCCGGTTTTTCTCCGGCCTTCTCTTCAGCTTGGGGTTGCTCAGTCGAGGTTTTATCATTGTCTTTCGCCTGCTCATCGGCTTTCGGTTCCACGGTCTTCTCTTCTTCGGTTGTGGGCTCGCCACTTGGTTGAGCCACTGGTGAACCTCCGATGCCAGAAACTGTAACATGAAATAATCAGGATTAACTTTAACTAGACACTTTCTTGAAATCATTGAAAACGTTTATGAGCTTTCGAGGGTAGGAGGCAAGTGAGTAGTGTTTAAAGCAAAATCATCTTATACGTTTATAGAAACTTTAGGGGACTGTTCAATTTTCTGCTCCTTGTTTGTAATCCGCAAAAAAGGAGGCGATATTGTGTGATTTCACATCGTGTTCTCAGAGCCAAAATTGTAAGGTATCGAGGAATATGCCAAGAATTGATATGTAGATCTTGGGTTGGTGAAAAGTTTGACTCACTTTTCTTGATTGTGTCCCGTAAGCTCGTTTCCACGTAGGTATCATATTTGTCATTGAGTGAAATTGCTTGACGGAGGGGGTCTGGTATGCTACTTTCCACTGGTTTGATCATCTGTAACAAATCACAAAAATCATCAGAGAAAGGATCATGGGAAACAAAAACCGTTGAAATCATAATTTTGAAACTAATTGAAGACGCTAAGTACAACTATAGCAAATACGAGAGTTCATTGGGGAGGCTTCTCCCATAATATAAGTCGATGCGTTTCTTGATAAGAGAATCTTAGACTCTAAGGGCGTGAAATTGCGCCTAATACAGGCGCCAATGCGACTAAATTTTTCACTTTGGCGACCAAATCCTGAGAGTTAGTCGCCAAATTGGCGACTACAACGTTTCATCATAACCTTACCAAGAGATATAGTGAATTAAATAAACTTGCAAAGATAAATCCGCGGCAAACTTCCTCGTTAAGTTTGTTTCCAAAACGTAGCACATGCATCTCGATCGATAACTAGACGCCACTGATCTTGGATTTAGATGAGCCTGAAAGTTGTATATCATACATCCTAGTGTCCACTTTGTAGCACGTTAAAGATCTTTTCCCTAACTTAATTTTAGAGGGTCTATCTAGAACGCTGACAGCGTAAAGAAAGATTTTGTTTGTCTTTGAAAATGGCGACCAACTTTTTTTGAATTGGCTACCACTTTGAAGAATTTAGGAGCCAAGTGGCTATCAGAGAAAAAAGTTAATTTCACGCCCTGTAGAGCTACCCTTTCACTCCCAAGATATCATCAGTAATTCTCCTTACTTTCCCCCATACAATTCTTATGATCAGAGTTGGAGAATTTGGTAATAGATCAACTAATAAACCCCTAATTGTTGTTTTTCTCCATTCTCATCACTTGCCTACTTGATATTGCATTGTAATCGTAAGGACAAATTCTGTCTTGGTCACTCAAGGGAGTTAAAGGGTTCATATTACTTTTCATCGTCTGGCATCACTTACTGGTTTGCAAACTTCATCCGTGAAGCTGTGGGTGTGAGGCACCAACATGCACAGCATTGACTCCATCAAGTACTCTTCAAGCACGACTTTTTGGTCCTCGTCGTATTTCTGTGGATTGGAAAAAAATATGACAAAAATGCTTACTAAAACCATGTGCGCCTAAGAGTAGAAGGCTCCTATTCAAGTTATCCCCAAGTGATGGCATCACTTCATCCAAAGCAAACTCAAGGATCAGTTGAAGTACACATTAACAGAGTTGAAAAAATAATCTTCCCACATCACGAACCAACTTGGCTATTTCCTCTTTTTCCCCGTAAAAGGGATAAAAAATTTTTTCAACGTCATTTTCTCAAAGATGAAGGTTGCGTCGGGTAAAGCAGCTTACCAAAAGTACTTCCTCCTTGACGACTTTCATTATGTCCGCGGCTGTTTCACCGTTTGCCTTCGCGTCAGTACCAGAGATTCCTTCATTCAAACGTTCCTCAAAAGTAAACATGGCTGAGTCCAGAAGCTGAAACAAAAGTTGTTATGCAGTGTTAAAGGAGTATGGTGACCACATTACAGTTTACTGAAATTAGGTAAAGAGTATTACAAAGAAATAGCAATGAATGCTCCTAAAATCTCTATAAATTCTACGTCCATTCTAAATTTTAAAACGGGCACAGTTCGTCAAGTAATGCTGCTAACAAAGTTTACATCTAAGAGACAAAATAGCTCAACAGTTAGCATTTCAAACTAAAACAACTGATAGTTTGAGGGGAAGAGCAGACACTTTTCTAGTGCCTCCCTTAACCAACAAGTACAGAGAGGTGGCAGAGAAATGTTTGGGGAGACTTGACGAAACACCTGCCTTACCTTTCATTCAGCTCCCAATCAAAAGTGAACTGAGGAAAAAATAGCTTAAGAGATGATGCACTGATTTCCCAAGTTTCATGCTTCATTTGCTTTTAACTTCAAACATTTCACAAAGAAGAACGGTTAACTTACCTGAGCCAACTTGTCAGATCCGATGTCTGTCACCAGATGACCGTTCAGTTTGTTGATACGCTCATGAAACTTCTCGTGGAGCGCGCTCACAAAGCGAATGCAAACTAAAGCATCGTACAACACGGACAATGAACGAGGCGCTCTGTCCAACGTCTGGAAGAACTAAGAAAAAAAAAACAAGTTTGAAAGAATAAATAGACCTATGAATAACGGCAAACGGAAACGGCGGATTAAAGTCTTAAGATTGTTCAGCTATTTATCCAATACATATATTAATTCAACCGAAAAAGAGGGAAAAGAAAACAAAACAAGAGAAAAAACACCTAGAAAATTTTTCGTATGGCGAAAATTTGCGGTGAGTCCACTAATTGTTGGAGGCCGGCCGATAACGTTCGTGCGAAAGCCACAATTTAAGGGTTTATTATCGGAATGATTAGTTTAATAATACGTCAAATAATTTATGGTTCGTTAAAACTTTGAAATCATCGTTCGTCCGATACGACGTTTGAAGCTTCGGTAATTCTTTGGAATTTCATTACCACTTGTAGATACACTGCTAGATAGAAAAACCTGGATTGCTTCCAGAGCACACTTTAATTTTCATATGATTGACAATCTGCTCAATAATAGACAAGACAAGCCCTTACTGAAGGCAAGGATGCTTCAATTTCATTAGTGTTCTTCGCTTTCTCAATAACTTCATCGATTTTCTTGATGAAAATTTTCCTTAACTCTGCCAAACCTTGTTCCATCTGCAAAATCAAAGAAAACATCAAGCACACTTTATAAAAAACGATAAAGCAACTAAAACGCATATTGGATGTCAGTGCATTGTTAAAGTCTTCGAAAAATGAAACAATGTGCACATGTAGTAATAATGATACCAACGACAATAGTAATAGTAACAATAATAATAATAATAATAATAATAATAATAATAATAACAATGACGAATATTCATACCCTTGTTCTTAAAAGATTACTCATTTCTTTCATGGTCTCTTCCATGTCCTTCAACACTTTTTCCACAGTACTTTTCAGAAGCTCTAGAGAAAATCAAAAATTAATTTCACCAATGAACACCAATTACACCACAACCATGTTCTTACATTGAACAAAAGGAATGACTCCTCTCAGATATGAAATACGTTTTGACAGAAGAGACAAATGCAGCACATGCCTGATAAATCCCACATGACTTTGCGCTGCACGGCAGCCAGTTCATCCTTTTTGTCTTTGATAGTTGGCTCAAGGACTGTTTTCATTTGCTGAGAAGATTCCTGCATTCCTTTCCATGATGGAATGACCATAGCCATTACAAGAGAATCTAAAGTCTTCACAACCTTTAAAATAAAGGTTCAGTCAACAAGAATTTTCCAAACAGCAAGCTCCACTTTCACCTATCTCATGATGTACAATAGGCTCATATTGAAGAGGGTAGTGGTAACCCTATCTTACAATAGAGAGACTTTTTGAATGGGTGTCTCAAGTCATCCCTGATTACACTTTGCTTCACTTTGCTCTTTTGACTAGTCTGGAAAACTTTTATCACCACTGGTCTCTTCTAAACCAACCAGAAACAAAGCTAAAACCAGTTACTTCCAGGACACTTGAGTTTTCCAGTTCTTTGGAGAGTTTGATTAATTTGTAATTACTTTGAGTTATCACTGGCTTACTGTGATATCTGTTGTTTCTTTCAATTGATGGTCCATTTTGATTACTAAATACAAACTTCAAAGGAATGACTAACTATACAACTGCCACAATGCATAAACAGAACAGACTGGACCCTATTTAAACTAGATATTAGGCCAACCTGCTCTCTGATCTTTTGCTTCATTGTCCAGCCTCCTCGAATCTCAGCGTACACATCAGACATGACACGATAGTTGATCCTGTCCACAAGGATATCACTGAGAACCTATTGAAGTGAAAAATTATGTTACAAAAGCTTACACACAACTTGGACAAGTGAGGTACATGTACTTTGCCAAGAGGAGCTGCTACACCTTGGGGGTCTGAACCCTGGACTCTAGATCAAAAATTCTCCTGTCATGAGTGGCAGGGGTGATCATGCTGAGTTAATGGACAAAGCAAACATTTTAAAATATATGTACCTGTTCCTCTGTTCCTTCAACTCTGTACCTCCAGTACGTCTTCCACAAAGCCACTTTAAAAGCAGCACGGCCCACGGGATCTTCACTTTTCAATCCTTCATTTGCCAAAAACCACAAAAAGCAGAGGTGTAAACCAACAAATTACTTCAAAAAGTTCCAGCACGTGTGTATACTGAAGCTAACATACAGATGCTGTGTATAGTATGTCACTCTGTTCAATAATAGATCACACTCATGTGATGATCATAATTATTGTAACTATACGTTTTTGGCATCGATGAGAAAATTGATGAGGTTACAAATAAAGCTCCAAAAATTGCATTATCTACATTACATCTTGGTCTGAATAATTATCTCAATAAAATCAAATGAAATGTTAATTGATGCATTTTTGGATATTTTTTGTTTTGCCCTTGTGGCCCATTTAAAGCATCTTTTGATGAAATTACTTTTGGCTGGAGACCATTGAGAGGAAAGACAGCTCATTAGGGTGAAAAAATACCCCAAATGCACCAACTAACATTTCATTTAGTTTCATTGACTCAAGGTATTCAGACCGAGATGTAATGAAGATGTGCAATTTTCAGAGCTTTAGTGACATAACCCTCACACATTTTGTTCATCTCATGTCAACAATTATTAAAACACAAACATGTAGTGTGCTCTGCCTATGATTGAATTTTTGGGAAAGACATTTTACTCTCACAGTATACTTCTCACAACTCAGGAGTGGAAGTTAGTGGGTGCATGTATCAAACTGTCAAAACCAGTTGTTACAGTGTTAACTGGTCTTACTCCTTGCTTACCTTCAGCTTTTCTGCAACAAACTTTGAAAGCTTCAATCCAGGCATGCTTGTCTTCATCATTTTCAGCGGTGATGAGATAAGACCTTCTTCTAGAATGGGAAACCTCAAATGTGTGTTCAGGGTACTTTTCTGGGGTGCCTATTTCTTTCTCGTCTACCTCTGGTCAATGTTAACAGATATAGACAATATAAATTAATAAATATTGTTTCATTAACATGAAAATGCACAACAGAAAGGTATATGAAACTAGAGAAAAATAAATCAAGTATTTTATTAACTTTATAACTGATTTGGAGGGGTAAATTTTGTTTCACTTGATACATTCCTACATTCAATGCACTTATCAATAAACAACATCAACTGACTGAACATTTGGTATGCACTCTAGTCTCCAAAGTCAACAATGCTACATTACTATTTATTAAGTTTTTTAATTTTAATTGTAAGCTCATGAATAATTGTCAATATGATAAAAATAGAAAAGTAAAAAAAACTTCAAGCTTCTGTACATGGGTATAAAAAGAACAAGCATCATTTGTCATCTCTTAATGGTATTAAATAGTTCCTTTTAATTAAACAGTTATTCTGAGAATGTCTTACTCATCTGTTTTGCCAGATTCTTTACTCTCTCTGCCATTGTTTCGTCCAAGTTACCATTGACTTCATATCCACAAGGAAAAATGGTGCCTTTGGGTTTGAAACCTTTCTCATATGCCTGTCCACAAATTATTCAACACAGTGAGTGAAAAACACTTTAGCATGATTACTCAACACGACAAAACCCTTGACACAGTCTAACAATCATGACAAGAAAATCCTTAGTTTTTATTGTACATTTTTTAAATAGAATTCAGACTCTGACATAATTAACATGTAACTTTTCTGTGCAATTCCAATATGTTATGTGCATCATGCTAATGGGTTATTAGTAAAGACAAGCTTATCAGCTAGAGGCCATGTTATTTTGAAATAAGACTACATTCTCTTGTCTAATTTACAAGGAAAGTATAGCAGTAAGTAGGGATAATTTTAAATTGGATCTTGGGAGTTAACCCTTTAACTTCCAGAAGTGATTCAAATGAAACTTCTCCCTATAATCTTCATACGTTACCAAGCAAACAGGTGATGAGAGTACTCAAACATATCAGGTAGAAGTTTATATCCTGATCTAACACCAAATGTGACCTCTCACGCGAAAACATTCCTTACGGTTTGCCGTTTTGAAATGGATAGCCGTTTGTAAGCCGTTCATCAGCCGTTCGAACGGGATGGGATGCTGTTTGAACGGCTTGAGCTATCCGTTCAAAAACAATTAGGAGCCGTTTGAACAGCTGGAGCTATCCGTTCCAAATAGATTGGGAGCCTTTCGAATGGCTTGAGCTATCCGTTCAAAAATTTTTCTGAAGCCGTTCAGCCGTTCACGGCATCCGTTTTAAACGGTTTCTCTATCCATTTGTCATCCGTTCACATACCGTGCGTTCAACCATTGGAACGGATACCGTAAGGAACGTTTTCGCGTGAGAGGTCACAAATTCTTCTATTTTATTGACAAGGAAATGTGTAGCAGCTAGAGGGGAGAATTTAAAATCAGATCTTGATAGTAAAGGCTTTAAAGGTTAGTGATAATGATATGGTTAATAATAGTGATGGTGATAATAGTATGATTGTAATAGTAGTATTAATAACTTGCACACCTCTTCATTTTCAAAATAGTCAACAGAGTAATCAGGATTAACCACAAAGTAACGTCTCTTCCAGTTCTTGACAACTGCTCCTTTCTTTGTGAGATATCCCATTTTTAATGGATTTTTGATACTATCCCACTGAAACAAATTAAAGAATACAGAATTTCAAAGATCATTACTATGTATGAGTTCTTTTATGCACCTGGATAAATTTCTGAAACTTCACCTACTACTTTGCTTTTTTGGGGGAATCTTGAGGCATCTATAAACCTAAAGTAATGTTTGCAGACTTCATAAGAAATACAAAAAACTCACCGATCTCTGCATTAACTGATAAGCTGGTTTTTCTTCTGCAAAGGATTCTGCATCAATTTCCTTCAAGGTTAACTTTGTGTATTCAACTCCATAGGCTGTGTTGTAGGCTAACGTGAACTCTTGTAGAAATTCTTGAGCAATGTCTGCAAGCAAGGAAAAAAATTGTTTGGCAATAATACAAGTACATGTATGAATGCTACATGTTCTTTTATCCTTAGAAGGTAGTGAAGGGTTTAATTGTGATGAGATGAAGTCATGAATTTTTACAAGAGGATGAGCATGATTCTTGAATTTTTAAACCAGAGTAAGGTACAGTGTAATTTGCCTCCTGAAATATAATGATGTGACCTGTGAATTTATTTCTCTTTCATTTCGTGAAAACCTCAAAATTTCCTTGAAACCTTACACACAAAAGGAGGAATTTGTAAGTTTTCTCTTTTAAATTTGACAAATGAATGCTATTTAAACATATAAGGGATTCCTTAATTTGTGCTTGAAATAGGATTAGAACCCCCTTTGCCTCCATCTCCTTACACTACAGTGAAAAAAACCCAAGCAAATAGGATATTTCCTGTGTTATCAATGTCTTACCAGTTAAATTTTAAAAAAAGGTCTAAATCCCTTTGATTTTCAATTTCCTTTGTTCCCAATAATGAAATTGAAAAGGAGACACAGACAACAAAACTCAAACTGGTTTGGAAATTATTCAAAAGGGCACAAGTATTTTGAGAAATATAAATAATGTTCACAAACTTTGAATTACATAAAATAACAATGTAAAAAAATATCTATGGAACATGTATATTGACAGTTGTGCATACAATTACTGACCCAATTACTTCACGGTTCAAACTGAAACTGCTGATGGTTATAAAACACACGTGTAATAAAGGGAGGGGAACAAATCAACGAAAATTTATCGTGAGTGATCAGTCACATACTGTAAATATCAAATACATGTATATTTTAACAACATATTTTTTTAACAAAATGTGTAGAAAAATAATAATTTTATCAATCAAAACAAATATATGGGCATTCCATCAGGTACGAATTGGTTCGTGCTGAATCTCGCTGAATCACTTCCTAATTATGTGATGTATCTGTCAAAGCTGCTATTGAATTGGGTGGGACACGAATATACATGTACACCCATGTAATCACTTTCACTACGTTGACTGCTCTCTTCGCTATTTCCTCCCGGAAATACGTATTGATTTTCTACATATGACCAGAAATGGCAAAATATCGATTCAACTGAAGAGAGGATGATCAACTACAAGTTCCGTCAAATCTCCACAAACCAGTCAGGTCAATTATGTTGAACTAAACCAGGTATATTGAGCAATAAAATGACATTACACGTTGCACTTAATTTAACTACAATGCAAAAAAATAATCTTCCAAATTTTTTTTACATAAGTTTCAGTTTCATTACACATCAGTTTCTGAAAACATTTTGTCTGCATTCAGTGGATTGATAACTAGGCTGAGCGTGATCGCAAAACGAGCACCGAAATACTTGAGTTAGGAAAGGAGCAATTTTCTTGCTTTCACTGCGGTAATTAATTCCTGTTTGTTAAAAAAAAAATGAATGACTGGCTTGAGAAAAAAGCTTGTTCTCAAAGTAGTCGCACGAACGTCGATCAGTGTGTAATTTCGATAAAGTTCCCATCATTTACAATTTCACTGAACGTGCAGGCACGAAAATCTCAACTATTTGCGTATGTTTACATTCACAAGTCTTACCTTCGATCTGTTGCTTCTTGTGAGAGTCAATTCCAATTAAATTTCCCATAGCTAAAACTTCTTTTCGCTAATCAAGTAGTGGTAACTTAGTCAATCCTTTGAATCAAACACAAAGAGCCGTGGGTTTAAAGGAGACAGGAATGCTAATGCTTGCGAAATCCTCCTAACTTCCAATTTATGGCCCGTACGAGCATTCCAAGGGGTGGAGCGGAAATTGAACTGGGTCATTCTGAACCGGAAAGGATCACGCTCTACGATAGCTCCAAATGAGGTCAAGTAACGTAACGAACATAACGCTATTTGTTTTGCTCCCTTGCCTTTGACAGCGGGCTTTCTTGGAGCAAAATATACTTCATATAGCTGCCAGAGTCATCATGAAGATTAAATGATACACAATAGTGTACCATACACGCCGTCTACGTCTGGTGCCAGCGAAGATCCAAGATGGCGGACAGCCATCAAGAAAATGAAGATAATACAGGCATTCCAGATACAAACGAAGGGGATTCCAACGACGTCGAAGACGCAGATGAAGTAATTTAAAATTACAATAGTGTTCTTTTCTGTTCGTTTATTAGCATTGCGATTTCATGTCACAAAATGAAAAATATTATGTCCGCAGGATTTCGAGGTTGTCTATCTTCAGTAGTTGACTAGGTTGTATCTGAACGACACAAGAGTTTATTGATTCTTTCTCTTAGGATCTACAGGTTGACCTAGATCTAGGTGAACTGGACCTCACGTCTCAAGATGAATTTATTTTAGACGAAGTTGATGGTATGGAAGGAAAAGTGGAGCATAAATTATCTTTATAAAAGTTTATGATTATCAGAATGTTTATAAAATTAAACTCAGAATGGTTTAAAACTAGTTTTCGATTTTTTTTTTATCCGCTGCAGAAAAATATTTCTAACTTTAACCAAGAAAAATAAAAATGGATTTAGTAAGAAAACGGCAGAAATTGATTTTAGGAATTGACATTCGTCAGAAGTACAAACAAGGCCGTGTCATATTATGTAAAAGTTTTGCTCATTTCTTTTTTTCATTTTTAACAGTGCACATACAAGAAAATTTAGAGGACGAGTTGGTAAAGGAAGCTTTGGAAAAAGTAAGCAGAGTGGTATTTTTATTTTTTGGAAAAAGAGGCTGGGAAATGTAAAAGAGGTGCTTCTGAAAAATGCATTTGTTCAGTTACCCTTTTTTTCTAAGATGTAACACATCCTTAGCTGTTCTTTTAATAGTTTGCTAATTGCCATTATGCAATAGTACGCTGTACCTTATTGATCATTATTTTAAAATTCAGGGAGTAGACCTCCGGCAGTATTCAAGACAGATTGAGGGAGACCTACATGAGGTTGAAAATGCATCAATTCTGGACTGTATCCTACGCTTTTAGAAGTCTTATTCACTTATTGATTAGAACTGGATTCATACAGTGCATAATGTAGTAACTCTATTTTATTTTACTGCCTGAGCTTTTTCATATACTGATTGATTTTCTTTGAAATCCATTTTATTTAAATTTTTTTTTACTTGACTGCAATCAAAGATATCAAAGAGAGTGAGAATATTGCAAGCCTTCACAACCAGATTGCCTCCTGTGACACGATTCTTGCAGTGAGTTGATATTTTCAATATGATATTTATCAGGTTTCCCATCAAATACAGTTTCAGTTAATACCTGGTACATTTTCAACAAGTGTTGACAGAAGAAAAATGCACAAAGTAAAAACTTTTTGCCATATATGGACAGTTCTAATTTTTTGTACCTTTCTTCTTACCCTTTCTTTCTTGGTTTGGTCTTGATGATTTCAAGGTACCCTAGTCTACAGTACATTGTTTATTTCAATGACAAAATCATTAGTATCAAAAGTATTTTCTCTACATATTTTAATATACCGCAACTCTTTTCAACATTCATTCAAACGGAAGACAACACAAACAATGCCAAGCCTCAGTTTATAGATTCAATTCTTTTGCTTTAACCCTTTAACTCCCAGATCAAATTTGTTATTCTCCTTACTGTCAACCATACAATTCTTACAATGTTAATTCAGAGAATTTAGTATCAGATCAACTAATTATCCCCAGGTTGATATTTTTCTTTATTCTCATCACTTATCTGGTTGATATTGTATTGATATTGTAAGGAGAAATTCTGTCTTGGTCACTCAAGGGAGTTAAAGGGTTAAAGAAAAGATGTATCAACTTAAGTTAGTTCTTTTCTTGTTTTGCAGAGTATGGAAAAGATGCTCACAAGTTTCCAGGTATGAACATATGAGGCTGATTATTTACACGAGGTCTAACCCAAACCATGGTTTTTAGGCAACCAGTGATCCTCAGGCTTTCTCTATAAGAGGGTTGATTTCACTGAATAAATGTCCTTCCACTGTAAGCTTAAATAAATGTTGAGATAAAGGTCCAGCTAAATTGAGGATTGTTTAGGACACGGTTTTATTAAACAGCAGCTTAACTATCTTTAAATGATTGGCCCACAATAACAACTTGTTTTTGGGTTAAATTTTCTGAACAAATATCAAACTGTATCTGTAGTTCCTCTTTGTATGTTCATAATGAGAACTAGATAAAAATGAAGATCAAGCTTGTTTGAATGCTTCAAAATCATCAACATATTTGGTTGTGATTTTTGCTGTAAATTTATCGTATCACAGGCCTATTCATGTTTCATGTATTTATTTAAAGAAATATAAGGTTTACAAAACTTCATGTCCTGCAAATAGCTACAATGCTAATCAGGCAGGACAAGACTTCTTTCTTGTTTTAATTATTCTTGTTTTAATTATTCTTGTTTTAATTATAGTGTGTTCTTTTTTGGAATTAATTGGGATTTTGCAGTCATGCACAGCAATCTACAAGTTAAAAATGGGGATACACAACATTAAAATATATCCTTGCTTGTTTCCATCCATTCACCAGGAAGATCTTGGTAGCATAAGCTCAGAAATCCAAACTCTCCAAGAACAGTCTTTATCAATGAACATAAAGCTAAAGAATAGACAGGTGAGTAGTCATTACATGTTGAGAAACCTCACCAGGCTATGAACATAGGCAGAACTCTGAGCATGTACCATAAACATTTTAGTTCATTTGCATTCAAAGTCTATCTTATTACATGTATGTATGTTTGTTCACTCCCGGAGGTCATTTCAAACTTGACACTAACCTTGAGCCTCGACTTGATTTCATATTATTAATTATTTAAATTATTAAGTCTTAAACTTGTTCTCACATTCAATTCTTTTTTAATTTCCTCTATCTCTTCATGCTGCATTCTGTTTTGTGCTGTTTTGTTCCTTAAATTACTTCCTGTTCTTCCATCCTCCTCTCTTCAATTCTCTTTACCCTAATGTTCTCCTTTCAATCTTAGTCCTCAAAATCTTTCCACTTTCTTTTCTTTTTTTTTCCTTTCCATCTTGAGATATGACTTCTCTGTACTTTGATTGACTCCAGTTTTATCCTTTATTTCTCTCCTCAGGCTATCAAGGGTGAATTGAGTCAGTTTGTTGGTGACATAGTGGTACCACCCTCCATGATTACGTAAGTAAACCACATTTTCCCACAATTTACGCAGTTGCTGTTACTCTGCCTTCTCATTGGCTACTTGTGGTTGGCTATTGTGATAGTTACAGTAATCGCTCTGACGAATGGCTAACGCTCGAAACGTCAGCCTTTAAACTCTCTGCGGTGGTCAATTTACGTTTTCAACTCAGTTGTTAACACTAGATTACCTGTTATACTCTCCCACCGACGCAGCACTAGTTTCTTTAGAAACGTAGCCCCTTTATTGCGATAGATAACTTTGGTTTTACGACGCTCAATCGAAAAGCACTCTATTCATGGAATGACTGTCTGACGGATAATCTCGATCTTTCTTTATAACTAGAGGATACTTTTGGTCTTCGCTATTTCTTTTTCTAAAAAATTCATACTTGAGAATGTGGACACCAGTCAGACTCCTGATTAATATTCTGCAGTGTCCTTTTTCAGTTATGTAAAATTGTTTCACAATTTGCTAGGCTGACATCAACCAGACCAACTTTCATGAACATCCCCGGTCAAAAGAGAAAAAGATGGTCATGAGTCAAATCACGCCTAATCCTGGATATCTCAAACTTCCTTTTCTCTTAAACTTGGTTCGAACCTGTTTTAAAGTTTCGTTCGAAACGTCATGTCTGTTATAGGAAGGGGTAATTATTGAATACCATTTTAAAATATGTACAAGAAAAAACGAAACTTTGTACGTATCCTCAGTTGCTAAATTATTTGGCTTATACAAAAATGGGTGACGGAATCTGCAGTGCTCAAAATTCTCCTTTGATATTGAGTAAGGTTATGCTGTTTTTTTGTTTTACCGGTTTATGTAATACTGCACGTAATTTCATGGTAGGGTGATTTCATTTATAATCGAAATTAGTCGAAAAGCCGTTGTAAAATGCGACTTTCTCGTTCCTTTTTTAAACTTTGAAAATCCAAATTCGTGGAGGTTTGCATCTTTTAAGCGAAAAAGCAACAAGTTCGTCATCGTCAAAGAGTGCAATAATGGGCTGTTTGTTGATAAACTGAAAGATGATGCCGCGAAAAACAGTAAAATTAAAATTAGCATTTTGAGCAGGCTGTTTTTGTATTGACGTAGGACAAGATACGTGTCAAAATTTCGTTTTAAAATGAATATGCGTGGTCGTTATTATTTAGTCAAGTTTTTGATAGTATGTATAGAGCACGTTGGTCTAGTAAGTTGATACTAAAACACCAACCACCGTCACTCGATTCAGCTTCGTTTTTGTAAGACAATGTTGAATGCCTCTGATCCAAATTACGATTTTTATCTGACGATAATCGTGGACAAAGCATACTGGTCGAGTTTGGCTGCAGCAGGATTCATTTTAGCGAGTATCATTATTATAGCAAATTCAGCCCTGCTCTTCACGACATATAAAGATCCTCAAAAGTCGCTCCGAAAATTACCTGCGGTTTTACTGATCACAAATTTGAGCCTGTCTGATCTTCTGTTGGGGTCTTTGAATGTTTTCCTGGTTGCTTTGAGAGATGTGTTTCGATCTAGACTCGAACACATACCTCACATTGTGGTTTTTAAGTCGATCGTGTACACAGTGCTCTCTACGACTCTATTTGTAAGCAGTTATTCCATTATCGCCATGTCAATAGCTTGTTACGTAGCGATCAACTCTCCCGTGGATTACAAATCAATTATTACAAAGGGAAGACTCAAGGTGTTTATCGCTGTATTATGGTTTGCATCCATCGCAATGTGTTCACTTCCTCTAACTCGCTTATCAGAGGAAACGTACACACTTATATACCTTCATACTCACATTTCTCTGCCTGCCGTATTTTTAACGTTCATCTACGCCAACGTTTTCCTCTCTCTCGTTTCTCAAACGCGTGAACTTCAAACTGGTGGGTACGATTCTGTCGCGAGGTACTCCTTAGAACGTGAGAGACGAATGGCCATTACAATTGCAATCATTCTAGCGTTGTTTTACATCACATATATTCCACAATACGTCACTCTTCATTTGTTGTACTTTTGCAATCGCTGCCAGCAATCGGTAACTTTTCACAAGATCGACGTAGCGTCTTCCAGATTTTTGTACATAAATTCGGCCATAAATCCCTTCATCTACGCTTGGAGAGTCTCCCAGTATCGCCGAGCGTTTTTACAAGTTTGGCAGAGTTTTTTCGGAACCTCAGGAGCTACTTCACAATCTTCATCGTCGCTCAACTCGACGCAGAGACGTACTGCTTTTAGTGCACACAGTCCAGGGATAGGGAGACCTTTGTATGGCAAGGCAAAGGCTGATTGTGAAAGATGTGGAACAACCAGCGTTTGAAATGCGAAAAGGGTAACATTCGTTAATCACTTATTGATGACAGATTTTAGGATGGAGTTGATTTACAGTAAAAAGTTCCCGTTTTTTCCAGCACTGTTTTAGTTCAATGATTGCCTAAGCGAGAAGGATATCGAACCCTGCTAGCTCGACACACCGAGAAGCTCGAGTTAGCAGACTGAAAGTGAAAAAAGTGTTCCTCAAAGGAATTGGCTTCAAGTTCGAGCTGGCGAAAGGTTCGAATTAACTGCTTTCAAGCCGTCTACCCTTGAAAGTTCGCTTTAACATATGAATTGTTAATGTAAATTATTAATGAAAAATTGCCAGCAAATTAAAATGATAAACAAACCAATTCATCTGTGTGAGCACTTGTGCTCTTTCTCACCTGAGTTAATTACGTATGTAAGTGCAAATGCGAACAGCTTCCAGGCTGTTACGTGCGCAGGTATCGGCTCAATTCCTTTTGAAATCTCGGTAGAATCTCACGATTGATGTTCACGCTTTTTGTTTTTTACTCTCTTTTTTCCGTAGATGGAATTCTCTTTTGTAATTGTAATGAAGTTGTAGTTTGGTGTGTCTGAATAAATTTGCCGTGTCGCGGTCTGTTCTTAACCAGTCTCGCTTTTTCAATTTCAAGACTCGAAAACTTGATTCGCAGCCGTTTTGATTGAGCTAAGTTTTTTAATCAGTTTGAAATCATTCTTATTTTTCCCTTGGAAATAGTATCTGTAGAATTAAACATCCTTGAAGTGCAGGACAAATATCTTAACTTACCGCCTCACCCGTACGATACAATTCTCTCTTGAGAGATTCATTCTGAGCTAGGACGTGCATTATGATTCTCGCACACAGTAAAGGGTCTTCCAAGTTTTCCCTTCAGCTTCTCGACTTTCCCTTTGAACTCATTGGAAGTCTCAATTACTTAACTTCAGATTTTACGACACGCAGTCGAAAAACGCGTGGGAGAGTTTTTCTGGTAGTGGTAAAATAAATTTTTATATTACAGACACATTAATGAGACACCAGTGACAGAGCAGGCATTCATTGAACAACTGCACGAGTTACACCACAAGATCGACTTTGCAAAGGAGCAATCTTTTAAAGGGGCTCTCTCGGTCAATGATGTGGGACATATACTGGAGATGCTGAAAGGCAAGGTAATGTACCAGACGTGAAGTTCATTGTTTGTGGATTCATAGTACTGCCCGGTCAGACAGTCGCACTCAAACGGCGTAAACCCATTTCATTTCTCATCGACCGTTGAACGTCGAAGGCTCAAGATCACCGATTCTCAGGTCTGACTATTTAAGCAAAGTTTGGCTGTTGTTTAACAGATCCACGTCCTATACAATTCTTAATTTAGCTGAACCTTTTATCTGAACCTTTAAATTTGTGAACAACGAATAAATCAACTCTCGTGTAGAGAAAGCCTGAGCTAGGCCCACCGATTACGTAAAACCGTGGTGTAGGTTAGACCTTGAGTGAATAACCGGGCCTCAGGGTTTGGTTATTCTCTGAAACTCTTTTTTGCGAGTTCGCGACCCATTCCTTGGGACTTCCATCCGTCGTTTTAGGCCCAAATGTATGATTTTCCAAACGGATTCATGATTCCCTTCAATACTTACTTTTAAAAGATCCTAATTAAGACTAATAACAGGTTAATTAGTGTAAGTATCTGATACATGATCTCTTTTGAGAACAATACCTAGAGTGTAATGACATGCAAATATCCTCCTTTGTTTTATAACCAATTTCTCAAGCGTTATTGTAAAATGAATTTACTGTTCTATTCATTTCCAGGCAGTGCACAAGATACGAGACTATGTGTTGCAGAGGATATATCAATTTCGTCGCCCGATGACTAATTATCAGATTCCACAAAATGCCTTGCTCAAATTTAGGTATTTCATTTTTTTCGGTTTAATATTATGTCGGTACTGTTTTGAACTGAGCGTCAAATCTACGTATTTGTTTTACTTTTCATCGCTCAGGTACTAATGTAAAACCTCGCTCCATTTTCTCGCAAATTAATGACACGGGAAAGCAAAACTCGTGGAAATGGAGGGAGGAAGAGACAGCCTAACTTTTAGTTATAAGCTTAGAATTAACATCAAGTAGAGAAAATTTAAAGAAAAGCTCACCTTGTCTAAATGGTGATTTGGTTTTAATCAATTGAGTTGATAATGCAAATTGGCTACCGTAAAGAGTTTCTAAAGCTTACGATTCCAGCATGTACGCTTCGTCTTTCGCTCTGACGAAGGGCTAATGCTCGAAACGTCAGCTTCAGAAACTCTTTACAGTGGCCAACTTACGTTAAAACAAACTATCTTGCAATACCCTCCACCAACACTGAACTAAAATTAATTTAGAAAGTTACCCCATTCCCTCTGAATAGTGCTTGAGTGACAGATGCCGACTGAAGCTTGTTCATTTCCTTATCGTTGCCAGGTATTTTAATGAATTTCTTATGGCGCATCATCGTCAAGTTGCGAGGGAAATAAAGGATGAGTACATCGACACCATGAGCAAGATTTATTTCTCATATTTTAAAACGTACATTTCCAAACTTCTCAAGCTGCAGGTGAGCAAATATCACCTTTTCTTGGTTGATTTCCTCCCCATTTTTTTTTTGCAAGTACGCGAAAATTTTTCCCATCAGTGAAGCAGCTTGGATCACACAACACAACTTTCCGTGCTCATGGGGTCAAGTTGTTCTGTAACAAAGGACTCGCCAAGTTCTGAATCCTTCTCGCCAATATTATCTTGTGTCACTCTGGATTAAAAAAACATCTCTCGTTTTTCTTTATGACTGCAACAATTTCAAGTTGACGCGTAACCGTTAAGCCAACATAGTGTCCATTTTTTTCATTTGTGCATTTATCATTGTAATTTTTTTTCTCAGTTTGAAGAACAGGCGGATAGAGACGACCTTATGGGAATAGAGGATAACGCTAAGAGAGATATCCTTTTCCAAATGAACATGTAATTTTTCAGCTGTATTGGTGTAATTTGTGATGGCACTGTGAATGTGGCTTAATGGGACAGAAGGATACTTAGGGGCCATCAAAACCTTTCAACGGGGATCTTCTTCAATTGTATGAGTGTAGCATTATCAGCTGAACCGGATTTTTCCTTAATTCTTTTAAAGTATTTTCTCTGGAAGAGTTGCTTTAAAGAATCGTTCCACAATTTTTACTCTAGGAAGCCGTGGCAGTGTTTTAACATCAGAGTTAGAAGAACCCGTGATCGTGCCTCATGCGGCGCAAAAGAGCGAAAAGAAGGTGAGAGAGTCAATGTCAATGGTTATCTCTGATCACTTTGCTGTTCTTTGCACCTTGGCGATCAAGAGACCACCTAAAGCTAAGCTCACCATCTCATCACGTAAACTGCGTACCATTGATCCAGACAACCTACGGCGTGATATTCGTTCCTCCGCCTTATATAACTCACCATCTCAGGAAATTACGGAACTCTGTGACCAGTATGACTCGGTTTTACTTTCCATTTTAGACAAACATGCACCTTTGCGCACAAGAATCATCAATCTGCGACCTAATGCTCCCTGGTACAGCGAGGAAATCAGAAAACAGAAAACAACCTGCCGCAAGTTTGAAAGGCGCTGGCGACGCTCCAAACTTGAATCAGACTATCGACCTTACGCTAATCAACGCACTATTCTTCAGAACACCATTTTTAAGTCAAAAATGGATTACTACTCTAATCGTATTTCAGAGGCTGGCCACGACAACAAAACCCTATTTCGATTAATCGACCGTCTCCTCCACAGGAAAGCAGAGAAAAGTTATCCAACCAGCACATCAGCTGAAGATCTCGCTAATACATTTGTTACCTTCTTCGAAGATAAAATAACCCGTATTAGAAGTATACCTACTCCTTCTGAAATTCCGGATTACTTTTCCTCACTGGATATTTCCACCACTAATTGTGAGCTTAGCAACTTCTCACCTATTTCAAATCTTGAACTATCGAAGATTGCCCGCTCTGTTGTGCAGAAATCCTGCTGTCTGGATCCTTTACCAGCCACGTTACTTAAAGAACATCTGGACCTGCTCCTACCATCTATTTGTAGTATTGTAAACCTGTCACTGGTATCTGGTTTTCTACCTTCGTCCCTTAAAAACGCTGTTGTAACCCCTCTTCTCAAGAAACCGAACCTGGACCACGAAGTTCTTAGTAACTTTAGGCCTATTTCAAACCTTAAGGTTATCTCGAAAGTCATTGAGAAGGTTGTGGCAGTGCGTCTTCAAGCTTATCTTGACTTCTACCAACTCACAGAGCCGCTACAATCTGCCTACAAATCATTCCACAGCTGCGAAACCGCCCTTCTCCGTGTTCAAAATGACATTTTGCTTGCTATCGATAATCGCCACTGTGTCATGCTCCTGTTACTAGATCTCTCCGCTGCATTTGACACTGTTGACCATGCAGTACTGCTCAAAAGATTGAATTCTAAATTCTCAATACGTGGCACTGCACTTGACTGGTTCCGCTCCTACCTTACTAACCGCACACAAGTCGTCCAAATCGATGGGAGGAAATCGCAATCTCGTGAGCTCAAGTGTGGAGTACCTCAAGGCTCCGTTCTTGGGCCGATCCTCTACCTACTTTACACTGCTCCTCTTGCCGACATTTTACGTTTTCACGACATGCAATTTCATTTCTACGCCGATGATACTCAGTTGTACATTTCTTTTTCCGTTAACGATGATCTGGAATTTACCAGTAGCATTGCTAAAATCGAGAATTGCTTATCCGATCTAGATAAGTGGATGGCCTTAAATAAGCTGAAGCTAAACAAAGACAAAACTGAACTTCTCTACCTTTATTCAAAGCACAACCCTCAACAGTCTATACCTCCACTTCGTTTTGGTTCTGATATAATACAGCCGTCTTCATCTTCCAGAAATATCGGCGTCGTTTTCGATAGTACTATGTCAATGCTCCCTCATGTCAAATCTGTCTGTAAATCTGCCTTCTATCATCTTCGGAACATTTCCCGTATAAGGAAATTACTATCCATTAAGACCACTGAGACTCTAGTCCACGCCTTTGTAACCTCCAAGTTGGATCACTGTAACTCTCTTTTACACGGTGTCCCCAAATACGCTATCCAAAAGCTCCAATCAGTGCAGAATGCAGTGGCTCGACTTATTACCAGCTCT